TATATGTGTATAGTAAAAACTTTAAAAATCTTCTTTTAAGAATGCCAATGAGCTAGAACTTAGATGTTTAGCATGAAACATCTTCTTATGGGTGTCTACCAAGTCTGTTCAAATAAATAAATAAAAGCCCTGTTATTGGTTGAAGGGTGCACTTTGGGTGTAACATTCATAATCTTTTATCTGTTGTTTTCTCAATCTTAATTATTATATGTAATACTATGTTTCTTACTATATGTATTATATACATTGTTTTGATAATTGTATATACATTGTATTATAAACAAAATCACAATATGAGTCGTAATTGATCACAATCATGAAAAGTACTGAAAATGGAAATGAAAAAAGAAACCCATCATGCCAGAATATCAAACTGAAAATAAGTATTCTAGTCTTAAAATTTATACAGGACCAACACTTTGATGTTTTACTTTCTTTGCTCTGAAGCTTTGGTTAATTTTTTAAGTCATTTGCAAAAGTCACAGTAAAGGTATGTTAAAGAAAGACAACTACTTCAGCTAGAATTTAATGTTACTTTTCATAGTTGCCCCCCTTGAATATAAAAAATTTTGTTTATAGCCGAGTTTGACTTATTTTTCTGAGTGCTTTTTTTTTACTGTTAAATATTAGGTAAATGATGATCTCTAATTTGTATTGACGATGTTGTCATTATATTAGAGTGGTCATGAATAGCTGAAGGTATTGTTATTTAATTCATTATTATGCCTCCAGCTCCAGCATAAAGCCAGGCCAACTTGCTACTCTTATACTGTCTTGCCTGTTTATATGCATGTTCTGTTAATACCTGCAATTGACAATAAAATGCTTTAAAGAAGAACAAATCTTTTTCACAAAATCATCAAAGACTTAAAGATAGGTTAAGTTTTTTATACACTGCTTTGATCTGAGACTGTCGGTCAGACTGCTTTATTGATTCACGCAAAGACAATAACTATTAGTGATTAATTATTACTATTAATTATTGAGTATTCATTTTTTAGATGTATTATTTTCTAAAAGAAAAATTATAGACACATATAAAGTCATTTATTATATAGATATATATGCATGACCAACTAAATTTTTATCAAAATGTTTTCAAACAAGATTACCCGCCTTTCCCACAGGTGCTAGTGGCATTGATTTGACCTAAAATGTGTTTGACCTTGTTATTTATACAATAAAATATCAATATCAATATATTAAAAAAAAAAAAATTTTTTTTTTTCACTGTTATATTATTATAGACAAGGTATGCAACATTCAGGTACGAAAATTATGGGTACGCCGGTTATCTGTGTTTAAATTTTTCACCGGGCGGTAATATCGTCGGATTTTTGCATGGAATTAATGCACAATATATTTTTCTATTACAATTTACTATTTACAGATCCCCAATTAACCGCTAGTTAATGTTTTAAAGCCCGAAAGTAAGAAATCACCCAATTTTAACACAGATAACCGGCGTACCCATAATTTTCGTACCTGAATGTTGCATACCTTGTCTATAATAATAATATAACAGTGAAAAAAAAATTTTTTTTTTTTTTTTTTTTTTTTTTTTTAATATATTGATATTTTATTGTATAAATAACAAGGTCAAACACATTTTAGGTCAAATCAATGCCACTAGCACCTGTGGCCTTTCCCTTGACTCTGTCAGTTTTGTAAAAAAAGTTGCAGCAGTCTTAAAATAGGGGAGATCAATCTTGAATACTTCTTTCATTTTTCAAAGGGAAGCTACTGTCAAAAAACACTGCCTAGAGACAATATTTCTTAGAGAATATAGGTAATTGTAAGTTTTATGTTGTTGGTTGATCTCGGGTGTCCTCTGTGGTTTTCACCATTACTGGTCCAGTGTCTCCTATTTTAATCTTATATTTAAGGCCAGTGTATTAAAACCTGACATATAATATTTTGTTGTTGAATTACAAATCAATATTTGCTAATTACAATACTGATATTTATGGAAGATGTAACAAAAACATACTTTGTAGTGAAATTTCTTTAACACCAGTCCATAGAGATTTAGATAAATGTGTGGGTGAAATGGAGTTATAAAACTAGGAACAGTTTTAATCATACCCTTGACAATTTGTCATGAAGGCAATCTTGGCAATATCATAAAGTTTTGTATTACTTTTACTAAAGTCAGTAGATAAAAAAAGGAAGTTTTTCTCTTGGGAATATTGTTAAGTATTGGTTTAAACAAGAAATATGAATTAATGATTTGTTAAACGCAATTACAGAAAATGTCATGCAAATGAATACAGATATTGTAATCAGGCATGTTAGTGTAGACATTAATAAAAGCTCTTCAGGGATTGTTGTTGGAGGAACAAAACGTCTACCATTAATGCCAAAGTTGGCAATTAACCCAAAGCATACAAATTTAGAAGGTTGTTATGCTTGAAGTTCACATCACAAAATGTTTCATAGAACATATTTATGTTGTCTCAGTCTTAAGTCTTAAGTTGCAAGGACTAGTTAAAGGAATTTTGATTCATAAGGCTTACATTATTAGAAACCATCTTTAAGCCAACCTTATATACAGTCATTGTAATTTAGTATTTAATAAAACCCAACTACTTAATTTAATGAGGCTTACACATTCAGTTTCCCAATCTTTCATGTGGGCTTCAGCATAAATACCTACAATGATACATTATTATAGAGAGAAATCATTTAAACAGCATCAAACAACATATTAATATGAATGAACTGGAAAATGAGATTATGTGCAGTTGTGCATTCTACATTATAAAAATTCTCTATTATTCAGTTGGTCATTAGTTGATGCACTTTCATGTTTGCTTGTGTTTTAAACACCCAAGACTTATAAAGGAAGAAGAATGTTGAAAGGTTAGTAGATCAAACCATAATTGCCATGTCCCACTTGGACCTCTGGAACTGCATATAATATAGTCTGTGAAGAAATCTAAATGTCAGAGCCTGTAATCAAGTTTCTAAAGAAATTGATTACAAGATTACAAGAGAGAAAGATGTATCAAGTCTAGATTTGCTTTTCATTGGTATGCTTTACAGAGATCATTTGGTCCTCTTTTTATAGAAAAGAAACCCCCCGAATGTCTTTCTGGAAGCAGATTTTACTATTTTACTTAAACTCATACCCTGCTTGTTGCAACAGATTCTAACTATACAACTAGTGCAGACCAAGATAATTCAATGGCTCTTCCCTTTATGGTATATTTTGATTTTTTCTTTAAAAATGGTCTTGTCCAAATTGAAAGATTTTAATTAAAATATTTAGCTTGGTACTGGTTAATCTTCACAATAATATGAAGAATGAGTAGCTCAGTAGACTTTTTCCTGCTTACTTTTTGACAGGTTAATTAAGAAGCTTAAGAAAAGCTGTAACAAGGTTGCAAGTAATGTTGTGGTATCAACAAAATTCTTATGTTATAATATTTTCTGTAAAACAGATGACTTCAAGCATAATAATGAACTACTTTATTCCCTAAAGTTATCTTATAATTGATGATCCTACTTAATGTAAGGCTGAGAGAAGAAATGCTATAGACAAAAGTTGTTTTAAGTGGTGCTTACTTATTTTATGTTACATAAATCCATATGCTTAGCTGTATCACATAATATTGTAAAAGGGTTATTATAGATTACTTTGTGTGTCTGAGGAAATTATGTAGGAAGTCACTGGCACTGGCGACAAAAGCCCCCCCCCCCCCCCCCCCCGTCTAAAAATGACAAGGTGGACAAAAGCCCCCCTACCCCCATGAAATTTACACATAGGACAAAAGCCCCCCCCCCCCCATAAAAAAGTAAAGGTAGTACAAAAGCCGCCCCCCCCATGGTCAATCAAATTTACATAATTATAGTGTATTAAAGTTGTGTTTTTTATGTGTTTTAAAGATATGTATGGACATCACATGTAGGAAACATAGTGCTAAGGATATTAATTTGATCCCTTTACAAAAGTGATTAAACATTACTACTCTTCTGACCAATAATTGTTGTGTATATGAAAATATGATAAGCTATGAATTCAGTATCGCATGCATGCATTATTTTATCTGTTATCATATACTTTGTTATCACTTCAATATATATATTATAAATAAACATTATAACAAATTCTTTTCATTTTTATTTAAACGTTTGTGTGAAATTTGATGAAATTGAGCACTGAAAAAAGATTGGGGGGGGGGGGGGGGCTTTTGTCCTTTCTGTATTTTTGATGGGGGGGGGGGGGTTTGTCCTATGTGTAATTTCATGGGGGGCTTTTGTCCACCTTGTCATTTTTAGATGGGGGGGCTTTCGTCTGTGGGGGGGGGAGCGGCGCAGGGGGTTGTCCTATACTTGACAAGCCTGTATAAGCATATTTCTGAACAGTTTAAAGATTTTTTTTCATTTCATTTAAATTTCATTATTTTCGTATTAAGAATTGGAATAATAAGACGTAATCGAAAATGATGGTGCATATTCAGTTAGCTTATACATTATGAAGTACAAATGTATAATAACATTTTTAGTTGAGTCATTTAGGTAAAAGCCAAATATACACTTGTATATTTCATAAACTTGCTTCTCATTGGTGTTTGTTTGAATCCCACCAGACTATGGATTCTTTCATATGAAGAAGCAATCCAGGTAGCTTATCAGACATTGATGGTTCTACTCATGTGCCTGAAATAAAGCAATAAGAGGCACCTCTGACATATTCCTTCACCAGGAAAACAGGAAATTTGCCATATGTCCTTTACAGTGTTGGTCATTCTCTTCCCAACCCCCACCCCTAAAAAAATTAATTAATTAAAATAATAATAATTACAATTTGACAAAGTGCAGTTTGTTAATGTCTAATATTGCATTGCCAAGTAAGACTTTTCCTAAAAATGTACTCATCTGCTATTCTCAGCTATATTATAGCTCAGGTTGCCCATTTGACTTTGTTCTGTGACCAGTAATTGACTTGTAACTGAATTTCCATCCCTAATTTATGTATATATTTATCTCTATATCAGGTTGTTGACAAGATCAGATTTGGTAGATCAATATAACATTGTGGACCCATGTGTTATAGAGCGACTTCAGAAAGCAATACGCAGAGCAAAGGAAGCTGACACAGATGATGAGGTAGGTCACATGATCAAATCACATGATGAGGTCACGAAAGAATTTCGGACATATGTTATTCACCCTGGCACATGATGAGGTCACATGATTTATTTTCAAATTTTACAATTTCAGGCTTTTTGTGATACGTGCATGTATAGGTGTAGTTGGCAGTTTTGGCAGTTTTAACAGAAATTCTGATTGAATTTATTTAATTAATGATACTTATTTGTTCTGGATATACAAGTAATATGATATATTTATAGTATCAGCTTTAGTAATATTGATGATGAATTTCCAAGTAGTCAGTAAACTCAGAACAAAGCTAGACTAATATTGTTCAGGATTTATTTTTATCCACAAGGTTAAGCTAGTAGATCTTTTAACTGTCCTAGTTCAAGGTCAGTGTCAATGACTGGTCTCTTGGTTTCTTTAATTAATTGCCCGCTGAGAAATAACTCTTAAATTCAGGAATGTTAAGAGCAATTAATGCTGCCTTAGGGTATATTAAAAAGATAGACATAAAAATGGATGAATTAGATAAAATAGTCTGCAATGTTTGGACAGGATCCCAGGATTTTGTCATTTGCTTTCTTTTTAGAATCATCACAATGTGCTCATTTTATGTCCATTGAAGGGGAAGCAATATACTACTGTGTTGGTGCAATGTAAAACCCAACAACAACAAAATTGGAGGCATAGAGTGAATGCACTAGCTGTACTTTCATCTGTCCAGTACAATCTTTTTTGTCATCATCTCAACCACTTGTCTGATTTGAATGAAATCTTCACTTTGTGATTTTCATAAAGCTTAGGTGTCCATTGCAAAAAATGTATTGACTTAAACATCAAAAGTCTCATACAATCTTGTCCATGCTTCATCTCCTCAACCACCCTTGTCTAAGATTTGTAGGTTGAAACCTTCACTGAGTTGTTGTCATTAAAATGTATAGAAAGCAAGTATTTGGTAAAATACTTATGCCAAACAACATTTAATGTGTATATAATAAAATCTCTTGGGCATAATTTCATATGTAAATAGAAAAATTTTCTCCCATGGAATATTGTATCAATATTTTTATGTACAAAATCTTTAACATTATGACACTAATCTTTTTCATTGCTTAATATGTTTTGTCCAGAGCATTTATACTCTATCTTTGTGGGTAAAGTCTTCAAATAAAGAAAAATATCAAGGAAGGAATCATAACCTTAATTATTGTGGTATCCCGTCGATTCTTGCTCTGTTTTACTAACTGCCTGTCAATTAAAATGTTGCCTTATCCAATTCTAAGCTACTGTTCAGGGGCAGTGACAGCTCTTGTTACTTATTTTTATGGTTTCAGTAAAACTTTAGCATTCAGTGTGTCAAGTTTGATAGAAAACAAATCAACAGTTTTATTTTACATTTTAGCTCAACTTTTTCAGAGGAAAACAAATCAAACTATAATTTTTCAGAGACACTTTCAGTGTTTCACACCTAACTAGAGGTGTACTGGTATGAAGTTCAGTTAATCCTCACATGTATCAAGTGCTATACACTGGGCATGTAAAAGAACCAAGGGGTCTTTTCAACAAGAGCTAGGGACTGGTTCCCGGATTCCCATGTATCTCATTGCTATCTCTGAAGTGACAAGTCTAAAGTCATGTCTACCAAATCGGCCTAAGAAGCTCAGCTTAGCATCCTTGATGATGTTTTGGCCTGAATACTACATTACATAATGAATACAGTCTTGGTGTTTTTGCTCTCTAAAAACTTTGTCATTGAGTCATTGATAGCATCATATTTTTTTTTATTTCTTAATGGATTGTCTTCATAGTTGGTATCAACAAACCCTTGGGACAAGGCTTTCAAGTAGACTAGACTGAAGTTCACTGATGTAAGACATTGTCCTTGAGGTTAAGTTATTGTATTGCATTTATACAAGGATTGCTAGAACTTGCTATTTCATTGTTTGTAATGAATGTATTGTCTTTATACTTGGTCGCAATAACATTTAAAACAAGACCTTCATTTAGACTAGAAATAAATTTACCTTTACTCATAATAAAACTTTACCTTTAGGGTCAAATTATTGTATATTGATTGTTTTGTTGTAATTGGTTATAACTTAGGAATTGTATTTATACTTGGACATTAATATAAACAACACTTGGACAAGTTTTCTAGCCATTTTGATTTTGTGATAGAACTATGTTTAGCCAATGGCAACCAATTGAGCCATCTGTTACAGAAAGGTATTTGACAAAATCATCATCATATCATATGTTATGTCAAACAAGTAATTGATTTTGTGTAACAGAATAAACACTTACATAGATAATCAGTGTGTTGTTTCACATTTGATTCTGTCAGTTTTGGTATTTTAAGCATTGATTAAAATTAATTTACCTGTATAAAACATGGATGGGGCTATTTTTGTTCAACAAAAATATATTGAAATAAAGTAATCTTCTAATATTTGCTTTCTTAATGGTTAAAATAAAAACAGTAGCTTTCTGTTTCCTTAAATGGTTAGAAATAGAAACTGACATTAAAGCATATCTTTGATTGGTTGTTAGAAATGTTAGGAGAAGTTGACCTGCTATTGGTACTCATCAGATCCAAAAGTTTCCTTATTTTGTATTTTTTTAAGGGGTTTATTTATACCTGGACAAGCGAAAATGTTGAATTATTCATATAAGATCTTGAACCCTCAAGGTGAAGTTATTGAATTTTTCTTAAATTGTCATAACTTTGTGATTTTACAGATATGATTTATACAAATATGGACAAAGCAACACTTAAGACAACACTGACACATAGAATTATTCAAGTGTGACCTTGACCTATAAAAATTCATTGACTGTCAAGGTCAAGTTCTTGAACTTTGCATAAATTGGCAAAACTTTATTATTTACAGAGGGATTTCATTCTTACTAAGACAGAATAACACTTGTGTCAAAACAGGCATATTGAATAATAATCTTGTCAAGTATGATTGAGACCTTTAAATGATATTGACTGTCAAGGTCAAATTATTCAATTTTTTTATACTATGCCATAACTTTGTTATTAATAGACAGATTTTATTACACAGCTGACAAAGTGACAATATAATAACACCTACTTGTTGAATAACTATAGTATGACCTGTACCTTTAATTGACCTTTATTGTCAAGGTCACAATGAAATTTTGTGGTAAGTTCTTCACAAGAGAATGATGTTTCTGAAAATCCTTTACCACCATGTGGTTTTTCTGATGTTTTTGCCTTCAGAAATAGTAGAGCGTGGCACCACTTTCACTGGCTCTTGTTAGAAATTTTATACAGAAAATTGAATTTATATGTAGACTATTATTCAGTCTTCTCAAACTGTTAGATGAAATTATCAATTTGTCAATAATGGGCTATGTTTGTTACTGAACAGAATTCTAATTTTTGACATATGATGTGATAATTATGTTCAGAATGTTTTTGTTGAAATTCAGTGAAAATGACATTATGTCCCAAATTAGTGTTTGATTACATCATATTCATGTGTATAAAAATAACCAAACTTTTCTTGTAAATGTTGGTTTAAAGTTTATGTTTAGCCAATTATTTCGCATTAGCAAAGGAAAACTTTAGGTTGATGGTGCAGCAGAGGAGTTGATTGGTGGGATGCAAACAATCAGCTTGTCAGTGGGCTTTTGTACTTTGAAATGTTCTACTTATTTTGAATGAACTCAGTTTTTATTCAAGAGTAATGCAAGTTCTATGTTTTATAAAAGACATTAGAAATGCATTAAACTTGATTTTCTTGGAAATGTGGAACTCTCAAAGACGTCACATTGTCTGGAAAAATTGTCTTTCAAATTGGAGTGTTATTCCCTCTTTAGTTTTTATTTTGAAAGAATTTGTTTAGAAAGGTTTTTCTGTTCTCACTGTTCACACTTTGCATTTCTAAATGATGTAAATGATACAAAAATCTACATAAAAAGACTTTTTCATTGTTGTTTGGAGTCCTGGAACTAACTAAATTAAATGTATCTAGAGTACTGCATTGTGATGTCATATGACTTGTATTAATTTACTGATATATTTGACATTATTAAGTCATAATTTGACTTTAAAAAATGACATCACCTTGCAGAAATATATATCTTTTTCAACTTTAAATTTGCATTTAACTCTTAACCAGCTGTCAACAGAAATAATTTAGGCTTTTGCAACAAGACCAGCTTGCACCTCCATGCTACCTGTAGAGTGCTGTTAATGCTTTTGTACCAGACAGATAAGTTTGAATATCAGAATACCAGCAAAGTGATTTAACATGATACAACAACATGTTTTCTCTGGCAGCATGCATTAAAATTACCTGCAGCTAATGAATAAAATATTTCAGATTGATGTTATTTTTTACTCTTACTAAATTCAATGTCATTATTTAGTTTTTTTAGCATTGATTTTAATTGAGAATTATTTCTTTTTTTCAATGATTGAGGTAATTTTGCAAAGATAAATTGACTTTTAAGATGTTAAAACCATTGGTGAAAAATTACAAAAGAAAGAATTAAGATATTTAGAGACAGAAATCTTTCTGAAAACATTTTAATTCTTGGGATAAAATTCCATGCAGTTTTGAAAACTTCGGGAAACGGACAAAAGCCCTCCCGGACAAAAGCCCTCTCGTCCAAAAATGACCAGGCGGACAAAAGCCCTCCCGTAAAAATGACAGGGCGGACAAAAACCCTTCCATGAAAATGACTTGGTGGACAAAAGCCCTCCTGTGAAATTTCTATTTATATTTTATTTAATTTGCTTAAAATCATTGTATAATAAACTGTTTGTCTAAAAGTGTAAATAATCTTTATGTGCTATCTCTTTATCAAATGCCAAGTTACTTCACAGAAATAACAGGGCTCAAGCTAGGCTCAAAATTTAGGGAGAAGTCACTTCTCCCTCCAGCTGCTTTAGGGAGAAGTGGGGAGACTTTAGGGAGAAGTGAGGAGATTCATTTATCGATGTTTGTTGTATGTTATCGCAATTATGTTGACTC